AACAAGTGCCTTACTAGTAGTAACAGGTGCCACGCTAGTAGTAACAGTTGGTTGAAAAACACCTCCAGAGACCAGAGACCCAGTGACCGAGGGTTTCGGGTTGAGAGACATGCCAGGCCACGCCGGTCTCCCAGGGGCCAAGCCTTTGCGTGCTTTTGGAAGCTTGACATTCAGACTCTGCTTTTGGATGCGTATTGAGTCATGCATATGTCCCAGGTAAGGAAGCGGCACGGAATTTTCAGCTAAGGATGGCGTCATAGATGTGCTGCACTGCCCAACTGGTGCCACGACCAGTGAGAAAGTTTGCACATACGACCGTTGTGGCCAATGCTTTGGCGAGCTGGAACTCTTCTACGAAAAACGAGGATTTTCAGCCATTCGTGAACAGAGCAGCATGTTATCAATTTGTTGTATGCATTTAATTTTGTACGAGTGGTGCTTGGTGCAAAGGCATGGAAGAAGATCTCATCCATACTCAATGTTCTGATTCCAGAATACTTGTGAGAGAGAGAGAGAAAAGGTATCACATTCACCTTGAGATAAGGTGTGGTAGGTTGTGGGGTGCTGTATTTGACTGAACAGTTCGTTTCAGGACAAGGCGCCGGGCGCAAGCAACTTGCTTGACACTAGCATTGATTGAGAAGCTTGGTTGTTCAGGGTCTCTCAGGGAGGACCTGTCCTGAAGCTGTTTTTGTTTAGTAATCCGACCTTCCCCCTTCTCAATTGAAATGAAATTGCGGCAGAGCCGCATTTCCAAGAACCTTGATATGATGTATGACACGCTCCAGTCAGAGGTCATGACATGTATATATAGGCGCACTCGCATCAAAGCAGTGTGGTGCTCCTTTTGCCTCATTTTGCCTCATTTTGGCTCATTTGCAGAAGACCTGTTGGCTTGGCCTATGCAAGACAATCACAAGGAATCACATCCACTTTTGCCCTTGCCCCTTATACACCCCCTGGGTCACCCTTGTTTGTGCTTGCAGCGCTGTCGAGCTCAGGTTGCATTGGGCTACCATTGCTACCCGCACGGAAGTCACACTCTGGACAGTTGCAGCGCCTGTAGCCTTGTGAACAGCTCAAGGCTCACATGCTTTTCGTCAGCTCTTGAAAACATTGAGTTGATTGTTGTTTCTTATTGCAGTGATGAAACGTGTGATAAACGTGTGGGACTTGCCAATAATGCACTGTAGTAACACCGTTCGCAACTGGTGTCTCGGACTCATCCCTGTAGACAAGAGGAAGTGCGGCAAGGTATAGTCACTTGCCCCGAAATGCTGTAGAAGGTCGAGGAATGCAAGAAAATTGCAAGATAAACTTAACTGGTAGATGTGTCTTAGCAAGTTGATCAGAGTTAAGCGGTCTTCTTTGTGGTCACAGAGTCGTATGTGACCAGAGCATCTAAGATATACAAGGCCAGGGTCATTTTGCTGTCCGTTTCTGGACATTGCCTCCAGGCCTGGCTGCTCGAGCCCAGGAGCGCTGGAACCTCCCTCCCCCGAAGTATTTGACGTTTCACCAACCCAAGCATTTTTGCAGGCAGTTTTGCATGCAAAAAGTATGCTGAGAACAGCTGTTTTTCATTGATCCTGTTCATTGGGTCTGCAACCTTGACCGGTTGAGCCTTGTTTGTGACAGCTGGTGTCACCAAGGCCCCGAGCAGTGCTCGCCGTGGAGGCACTAGGAGCATCCTTGAAAGGGTCTAAAGAAGAGAAAGACACATTCTGGATAGACGAGTAGAAAGAAACCTTCGAATCTTTCTAGGGGTAGTCGAGGCCAAGAATGTCGAAAGTCTCTTGTACTATCTAGCTCTAGCATGCTAAAAGCGGAACTAAAGGAGAGAGGAAAAGCGGTGTGAGTGACTGAGTGGTCAATAGTGGTCCGCTTAAAACGGGCAGTACCTTCTCCTTTGCCCGCCCCGAATGCTAATAGACTTGACTTTCCATTCATTCTGCAGAAACAGCGAACCAGGCATCACCTCCAAAGCAGATGGAACCACATGGCCAGGTTGAAGAGTCTGCTCAACAGGCGGGTGCTTTGGTCATTCACAGCTGTGTCCGTTTTGGAACGGCCAACAGCAGAATGATAGAATGGTCGTCCCCTTCTGTTTTGTTTGCACTTTTGACGCTCGTGGCATTTGTCTCAGTTGAACATACATGTCCCCCTGTCACAACCCAAACTGCGAATTCTGTGTCATAGCAGTGCCACAACGACATTTTCCAGGTATCGAAGGTGGACTGTTTTAGTCGACTAATGTGCTGCAGGCATGCAGACATACCACATGAGTGCAGCGAAGTTTCTAACATGTTTCTACATTGTTGGCAATCTCCAGGCTAATCACCATCTTGCCTCCGGTGGAATTGAATGACAATATTGATGGCAATGATTGGGGCTGTGCAGCAAACGGACAAGAATCGGGCAGCAGGGGGCTGGCCCTGGCGAAGGCGGTTGCCTGCACGGCAAGGACGGTCGCCGCCCCTAGCTGCTGACCTAGCGTAGACCACGCCTAGAGGATGCGCCTGTAAACCCGCAGGGCACACTAGGGAGGAGGCTTGGAGGCCCTCTGGGACGAAACCGGAGGGGCTAGAAAACCTTGCAAACACCAATGCTTTCTGCTCTTGCATACGAACGCACCCGCAAAAACAAAACAAACACAGACAAATGTGTTTTTGGTGTTTTACTTTTTCGTTTTTGCGCAACGCCTGATGTTGCAAAAGTTGCAGTTTTTCTCTTTCTTGTCTCAATGCTCGTATGGGCAACCCCTTCCTTCAAGATGCCTTAAGATGGCCACACGGTGCGAGTTATGCTGCCCAAGTTGCCTTGCACGAGTAGTGGCTAGCGTTTTCCGTTTCTGGTTCTCTTTCTCACCACCACCACCACCACCACCACCACCACCACCACCACCACCCTCACCTGTTTGCCTCTGCCGCCTGCCGCTGGGCGGAAGCCCCCCAAACCTTCCACAAGCCACGGCGGCATAGTTGGCTGAAATGACAGGATCGATGATTGATGGCAACCCCTATTTCGCTCCCCCCATTGCCCCTGCCCCTGCATCTTCGACGAGTCGACAGGCACCTTCTCTGAAAAATATAGGGCTTCGTATTTTCAGGGCAGTTTCCGGTTTGCCGGAATAGATGTGACGTGTTTGACGGGACTTTGATACATGCAATTACAACTAGTGCCCCGGGGTACATATATATATATATAAGTATACAGTAGGTATAAATATGGTTATAGAGACCCGGTGCAACCTGCAGTTGCACAAGCGTCCCGACGCCAAGCGTGACTGACGGGGCCCATCATACTTTCAAGCAACAGGGCGCATTGATGCACGCATGTGTCCCGTTACCCAATGGCACTGAGCCACACAACTGCACTTTCCACCGAAGCCTTGCCAAGCCGGTGATTTCTGTCAGACATCCTCTAAACATGTTTGCAGTACTCTACTTTTCTGTCCTTCGCATGTTTAGCTTCACTCCGCTGCGCTTGTTCTTTACATGTGCTCATGATTAGGTCAGGTTCATGCGAAAAGGAGTACCAGCTGTGAAGACTCTCGGGTAACTTCAGATGATGTCTCTTCGCGAGGCGCAACCTGGAGGCGCAGGAGGCCCCTGCATGCCATAGTTTTACATCCCTAGGAAGAAGTGGGTACAGCCGGCAAAGCAACTCATAACTTAACATAAGATAGGATCGACGTAGAAGGTGTTCCCAATCGTTTGGCAACCCAGGTGCCGACTGGGAAGTTGAGGGCGTTGTTCACTTGTGACTTGTGACCTCATAAACTCCTCCTCATACTGATATACCTGAAAACGATAGCTGTGTGCTTCTCAGCGCTGGCGTGCATGTGCTTGGGTGGTGTCTTGCATGGAAGACTCCTCGTGAAAGTCGGGAGAAGCGAGCCTGATGCCACTATCGACCCAGGTAGAACCCACTGAACGGACGAGTCTGTTGTTGACGCCGGAGTAGGCCTATTCCTACGCCATGCCGGCCCCCACCGACGGCTCAAGTAACCCTAGTTGTCTATGAAGCCAGCTAACAGCGTTGATCCAACCCATAGGAACGACTGCAGCTGCAAGAAGCCAGAGCCGGCCATTTAAAGGCCATATAGGGCCTCCAACAGACCCCACAGTGTCCTGGAGGTATATCCAACGTAGAGGTTGACGACCAGCGTCCGAATTCGGCTGGCCGACAACGAAGGATTGTGGCCCCGGCACTCAGTCCCTTGCAGGCGCGACGTAACCAAAACAAGGCCACCTGATGCAGGAGATATAACTCGCCCGGTCTGAGCAGGCAGTGAACAACAGAGCGGCCACATCGATCAGGGCTGCCAACACAGCCAGGCTAATTTTGATGACCCGAACTGGTGGCTCTAGGCGCTGCACACCTTGACCATCTTCCAGGACTGGCGGAGGTGACCACAAGTTTCAGGAGGGTGGTATTGGACCCTAGCCAACCCGTCACTGGCCAAGCTTCTAGGAAGACCTTCATAAAAGATACGTTCAAGCCATACGCTGCAGTGAGTATCAAGTTCACCAAGCTGTTCTGCCTGGAGCCCACTGCCAGAAGTTGCACAGGGCCACCAAGGTGAGTTGGTAGCAGCCCACCATTTCTTCACTCATAACCCTGAAAACCTCCATGCCACCAGGAGGCCTGGAGGAACTCTTCCAAGGGTAGAGCCCGGATGGCCTCTTCATCAACAGGCCCTTTGGAATGCGGCGCTTCGACTTGAAATCCTTTAGTACCGGAGTGCATCTCCCGCCCATCGCCTTCTTCATGCAAGCTGCCACCCGGGCACTACGACAAATCTGATGATGAACTCCATCTCCCAACTCGTTCTGCACCCAATGCCAGCACTCGTCGCTGCAACCCAGATACTCCGCCAACACGAAGAACCCATCGCCATCAAGGGCGCTTTCTCTTGACCTAGGGAATTGTTTAGGCACTCGATGGCCATGTAGTGATCCAGTGCTTCCCACGCGTCTCGTGAGGATTCCGCACTCATCCCATGGCTTGCAAACACTGGGCGGGTGAGGCTCATCCCTCACTCAAGGCTTGCCCCCGCACTGGCCGTAACGCCGGCTACTTTTGCTGGCGCATTGTCAGTGGCTATAAGTGGAGGCATCAGGCCCACATAAACTGTTTAGAGTTACAAGCAGTCATAAACAGGTTGCAGTGGAGGCTGCAGAAGTCAAGTCGGTTTTTCTTCATCCAGACTGTCAAGAAGTGTGCGTAAGCTCAACGGTGCACAGGCACCCTGTCATCTATTGGATACATCCATGCTACCGACAACCCTGCTGACATCCCAAGCAGATGGGCCCAGCTCAGTGAATTTTAGCTCACCCACGCTCAGCGAGTGTTGGCTCATCCTGCGCTGTGTTGACATCTGCTCGCACTTATGGCTTGCAATGCCCCGTAAGAACATTGAGGGTGTTGCCAAGTTGGAGATCGTGGAAGTGCCACTTCTTTTAAAGCTTGCAGTTTGTGCTGTGTAGCTTTGGTTTCACGCGAAGTGATGGCTTGGCTTTCTCTTCGTTTCAAGTTTCAAGTGCCAATTTGAACTCGACATGGAGGGTGAAACCTCTTATACAATTGATAAAGCTCTGGCATGGGTGAGAAGTGCTCGAATGCACACATGTCTAAGTGCCCGCCAGCTTCTGAAGTAAACTTAGCAGTTCACTCATGGACTTGAAGTGCTCGCAGCCTCACAGGCAGACACGGAGGACAAGGCTGCAGTTGGTGAGGATATTCCAAAGGCAGTCCAAGCATCCCAGCTCATTCCCAGTTGCAACTCTTTTTCAAGACAGCTTGCCAGCAGGACAGGTGTAGAAGGTCATCGTTAGCGTTGTCGAGTATTGTAAAAATCGTTTGTACGATGTGGCCATGTATCCTCACGTCTTGGTTTTGCACGGTTCATTTTCAAAAGTGTTTTCATCATATGATTTTGCTGCTTAGTGTGAAGCTCTTCTTCCAATGTTGGGCCGGCAGGTGTTCTCTCTCTTCAACCTGCCGCCCAGTAGTGAAGAGCTTGGGGATGAAGTCGTGCCCAGCGCCCAGAGGGGCCCAGAGGTTCGGAC